CTCTCTTTCTCTCTCTCTCTCTCTCTCTCTCTCTTTCTCTCTCTTTCTCTGTTCATCAAGTCCCTCTGGAGATTTTGGGGGTTTCCAGAAATCTTGACCAGCACCAAAAGTGGGCATTGCCCTTCTTACGGGAGAAGTTTGGTTTCATTGGTGTGTAGTGTGTACATTTGTTTGATTATAGAGAAAACTCTCATTGTCTTTTAAAGAAACTGAACAAGGGTCCAAAAAACTTTACTTTCGTTTTTCTCAAAACAGCGTTTTTCGGGATAGCCCCCTTGTCCTTAAAAGCGACCAATTATTTGTATGATTAACGAAGTTATGCTCCTGTTTTATTTTCTACTAAAAGTGCGCGTCTTCCAGCGCTGTGGAAAGTCCAGAACTCTAGTCCTCCAAGAATTAACATTAACGAGTGACCGTGTGTCCTGTCGGACTTTGTCCTGTTGTCCAAGAATTAACGTCAAGCAATGACCTTGTGTCCTTTCGTACTTTGTCCCGTCCTACAAGAGTTAAGCAATGACCGTGTGTCCTGTCGTAAAACTATCCCCAGCCCTGGAGGCGGCTGCGATGACGGTGGTTCTGAACGTGGTGCACGGTGTGCCGGTGATCCTGGTCCTCCTCTACCAGCAGTCCCTGGGGCGTCAGTCCTTTCTTCTCTGCTCCCTCTTCTACAACTGCGCCCTCCAGATTGGCTGCTTCCTCCTCACCAGATACGAGGAACTGAGTGAGTCGCTGTTTACACGTAGCTAACTCTTAGTTTAGTTTTATAATAAATAATAAATAGCATTTGTATAGCGCATATCCCCGCTCAACAGCAGGCTCTATGCGCTTTACACTATATTATTACCCCAGCAGACCATAGAACACTCCGAAGCATTCTCAGCTTCCTGTGAAACATACAGTGCAAGCAGCTGATTAAACGCTCAAACACTAACAAACTGACAAGATCTTTCGCTGTCTATAACCGGGTACCCATTCCCACCAGGGTGAAGAGAGGAAAATTCGTGTAAAGTGCCTTTCCCAGGAACACAACGTCGGGTCCCTGACGGGATTCGAACCCACGACCTTATGGTTGCGAGTCCAAAAGCCTAACCACTAGGCCACCGAAGCCACAAGTTTTAGTAAAAGTTTTACGGCACTTGCAACACAATAAGGTCATATAAGTGCCGAAGATTAGAGGTGTTACTTGAGAGTAACTAACATGAAAAAGGAGGAGAGATAAAGACGACAGTAGTTTGATAGGAAAGAAGGAGTAAACCACACCAGAGACCTGCCAACCACCTACAATTGGCGGGTGGTCTGGTGTGGTTTGCTCCTAACTTTAGATGAATATTCTTTGGGGTTTTTTTCTCTTTTGTAAGCTTTCAATTTTGCCAGTGAGAGCTAGATATTCAAGACCCGTATGTCTATTCAAGTGTCCCAAAAGCTGCATTTGTCGTTTCCTGATTGTTTTTATCAGTGATGGAGCCCACATGGGACTTATACGAAGCTCATACGAACTTATGCAATTGCGAGCGCCGTAAAACTTTTACTAAAACAAATCAAACAAACGTTTTTGTAGTTTTATTTTTCGCCCTACAATCTCTGACTGACTGAAGTATGAACAATAAAAAACGAAACATTTTTGTTGTTTTATTTTTCGTTGCATCGCCTCTGACTGACAGAAGCATGAACAACAAAAAAAGACATTGTCAATTTGATCAGACCAGGGCGCCACACTGTCCACAATGACGTCACCGCCCTCTGTGATGGACAAGATGAGCCTGACGGACGTGATGGTCATGTTCGTGGTGGACATTCTCGTGCACTCTGGTCTGGCACTGCTCACCCACGGGCTGTGGAGAGCCATCTGGAATCAGCTCAGGAAACTGCTGTTGGTATGTGGGGAGAGTGGTGGGGTGGGGTGGAGAGTGGTAGGGGGGAGGAGGGAAGGGGACGGAAGAGGAGGGGAGAGGAGGGAAGAGGAGGAGGAGAGATTGGAGGGGAGAGGGGAGGGGTGAGTGGAGGGAAGGGGATGCGGGAGGAGAGAAGGGGAGGG